TTTATGTGGATGAAACCAAAACACTGGTCGGATCTAGGAAGGCAGGGAGAGTTAAGGCAGAGGCATAGAAATTGCTCTTCCCCTCTCTTGTCAATCCATGTCTATGGTCTTTAAGATAACTTGTTATGTAAAATTATTTATCTAAGATGCACCTATACTGAATTTATCTGAAAAATAAAAGTCGATATTAGGAAAAAAATTGTAAATGGAAGATTGTAAGAGAGGGTTTCGCCTGCCAACAAAAGTTACTGGTGTGCCATGTTTGGCATGTGTGCCAAGGGTTGCCCACCCCTGGTTTAGAGTTTTCTTTGTTAAACTTGTATGTCATCAGTCAGGACCCTATCTCATTCACCAACATTTCCACAGGAGAAATGGAATTCCCAAATTGAAGGACTAGTAAAATTCCTGGCAAGAAAGTGTTAAGGTAGTAGCATGCTCACGACTGGCTGGATGTTCCAATCCCTTGTCTTTTAAAAAATATATATATTTTTTATTGATTTCAGAGAGGAAGGGAGAGGGAGAGAGAAACATCAGTGATGAGAGAGAATCGTTGATTGGCTGTCTCCTACTGGGGATTGAGCCCAGAACCTTGGCATGTGTCCTCGACTGGAATCGAACCCTGGACCCTTCAGTCCGCAGGCTGACGCTCTATCCACTCAGCCAAACCAGCTAGGGCCAATCCTGTGTCTTTTATCTGCAATTCTAAAATCTGAAAAGCTCCGAAAACAGAGTATTTTATTGATTCAGTGCAAACTCAACCTGATCTTAGTGTCACTGCCAGATATTAGTGTATTTAATACTTATGCCAGAGGGTTAGGGCGGGTGACATAATGTGTATAGTATATGACTATTTCTTTTCTAAAGTCCAAAAATTTGTGAATTTTGAAACAGATCTGGCTACATTGCTTTCAGATAAGGGGTTGTGGACAAAAATCAGGAAGGCACTTTTAAAAGTGTGCTCTGGTCTCTTCCTTGTGTTATCCACAAATTATGTAGGAAAATGGAAAATTATGCTGAACTTGGTGCCAAGAGAGCTAGGTTCTCTGTTTCCCCCATTTACTTTATATTTTCAAGGTACACTCTTAAGCTTGAAGGAGCTCAAATTCGCACAGCCAGAAGCTGGCAGAGTTGGATTTGAAAGCAGTCTTTAATTTTTCCGTGCTTAAACGGTTACACTTCTTTTGTGTGTGTGTGTGTGTGTGTGTGTGTGTGTGTGTGTTTTATGTGTGTGGAAACCACACTTGGGGATTCTTACTCCTCAACCCCAAACATCTTTAACGGATCTATATGGACTTCAGTTCCACTTTCCTCCTGTTTGAAGGTCTCAGAGATTCACCCTGTCTTATTCCTTTCTCAGTAGCTGCCAGTACCCTTATCATTTCATGTTTTTTTCCCCAAGCTTAGGTGTGGAATAAAACACCTAGTAGCTTTCCTAGCTTCTTTGCCGTCCTGATGACAAGCATTCAGGCCTTTTTCATTTCAAGGATCCTGTTGCTAATCACTATGGGATAAACAAAAGCAATGCATATAAAATAATAGCATCTACACCAGCGGTTCTCAACCTGTGGGTTGCGACCCCTTTGGGGGTCGAATGACCCTTTCACAGGGGTCGCCTAAATACATCCTGCATATCAGATATTTACATTATGATTCATAACAGTAGCAACCTTACAGTTAAGTAGCAATGAAAATAATGTTATGGTTGGGGGTCACCACATGAGGAACTGTATTAAAGGGTCTCGGCATTGGGAAGGTTGAGAACCACTGATCTACACTAATAAAACAGAAAGATGCAAATTAACCATCACTGTCACTCAGCCACTCTGCCACACCCACAAGCCAATCAGGAGCGAGTATGTAAATTAACCCAACTAAGATGGCAGCGGCCACAGAGCTGGAGCGAGCAGGAGGCTTGGGTTGTCCCTGGCGATGGAGGAAGCCAAGCTTCCCGCCTGCACTGGCTGGCTGTGGGCTCCGCTCAAGGCTACAAAGTTTTAATTATAGAAGATAAATAAATCCCAGAGACCTGCTTTCAGCCAGCCAAAAAAAGAAAGGAGAGGCTGGGAGCTTGAGTCGCTGGGGGGTGTAGCCAGCCTGAAAACAGCCATCAGCTCCTTACCCAGGCTGGCCAGGCAACCCAGTGGGAACCCCCCACCCTGAAGGGCCTGTGGGCAGCCTGAAACGGCCTTCAGCCCCCTCACCCAGGCTGGCCAGGGACCCCAGTAGAGACCCCCACCTTGAAGGGGCTGTGGCCAGCCTGAAAACAGCCCTCAGCCCAGACAAAGGAAAGGTCACGTGACTGCCCACAACACGTATCACCCTGTTTTCAGAACCAAGAGTTCTCTCTGCTGAATACAAAGACCCCACAAATGGACATCATGTGGCTTTGGGCCAGTTGGTGCCTGATTTCTGGTGTCAGCTGATGGTTCGGGACATTTCCTATTCGTAGGTTTGCCTGCACTGTTCCCGGGGGAGAGAGCCAGTTCGGCCCCAGGGCATGTGGCGTGAGTGGCTGGTGATGAGCAGTGCCTGCAGCTTCTCTGTCGTTGTCAGACAGAGGCCAGCTGCTTGGCATCTTAATTTGCACTGTATTTGCCTGTTGCTCTTTAAGTAGAGGATGGGAAGCCATCCAAGGGTACAGCGGGGTTCGCTCTGAGCAAGTTTCTCGCAACAGCCTGGAGCGTGGAGCACAGAGTGGGGAGTGGGGGACAAGGCCCTCGGACAGAAGGTGGCTCATGGTCGGTACCAGTGAGGGGACAGGCTGAGCCAGATCCCATACAACTGGGAGTTTTTGTAGCACATGCTTTTGTTCATCTTAGTATGATAGGGCTTAGTGACCCTTCTTTCCTCAGAAGTCCATGGTTGGTGGCCAGGCACAAACGGGGCCTCAGCTTAGCCAATGCTGAGGGAGCGGGCCTAAGCCAGCAGGTGGACATCCCCCGAGGGGTCCCATACTGTGAGAAGGCACAGGCTGGGCTGAGGGACCCCTCCCCCCTCATGAGTGCACAAATTTTTGTGCACTGGGCCTCAAGTCTATATATATAAAAGCCCGGGGACCAGAAAGGCAGAACAACCAGAACGATCGGGGGCTATGACGGGCTCTGTGGCAGCCAACCAGCCTGATCCGAGCCCCAATTGCACCCCCCCAAGCCCCCCGGCTGACCGGCCCCTAGTCAGCCCCCAACACCCAGATCAGGGGCAGGGCCAGCCACCAACCACCTGCGACCCCTCCCCCCCGAGGGCCTGGCTGGGTGGGCCCCCATCAGGGTGGGCTGGCCAGACCCCTTCCATGCACAAATTTGTGCACTGGGCCTCTAGTAACAAAATAATATAGGGAAATTACAAAGAATAATTTTTGCTGTTTTTATTCTAGAGTTCCCCATGAGATCACATTTTGATTTCTGCCCTTTATTTCTGAGAATGATTCACTGTTTACCCACCTTCTTCTGAACTCCACCTTTAGATGCATTTTAAATGTGATGATAGTTGCAAAGTAAAAAAGAATAACAGGGCCATTGTTTTCTGTAGGTAATTTGAACTCAATAACTTCTAGACAGTAGTGTCTAGTTTACTACTTTTTTTAGTTTTTGTTTTTTTTACCATAATCAAAAAATGAGTTCCTCTGGGCATTTTTTACTCTGTATTTGCCTCCAGCTAGCTGAGTGTTCTAGCAGAGTACTGCAATTGCACATAAGCACTCTGTGTTGAATTAAAAAATTCAACGTTTATTTGTTAACTATGTGCCAAGTATAAAGGCATGCAAAGTTAAATAAGTTCTAGCCATGTTGAACGGAAATAGACCCGATGTGTTAACTTCTACATGGCATTGTAGAGGTGAAAAATGGTTTCCTTATTCCCTTCTAGGTTCTTTAGCTGGTCTAATAAGTAAATTGACATAAGACAGATTAATAGGAGAAAAACTAATTTTATTTCGTTTGTACAGCAGCCCCATAAAAATATGAAACTCAAAGTGGGCAAAGTAGGGAGCTTTTTAATCTTTTAGACAAATAAACAATAAATTTGTGAAGACTTGACAAGGCAAATGATTTGGGGTTGGGTTAGTGCACTGGTGAAGAAGTAACACAGTTTGTTAAAACAGCTTGCTCTGCTCTAAATTTCCACCCCAGTTCCACTTGCTGACTCTGAACAACAGCCTCTCAGTGCCTGTTTCCTCACTGATAAATGGGGCTAATTGTGGGATCTTCATGAAAAGAGCTGGAAACTGTCTGGCTGGGTTGCCCAGAAGAACTTAGCCTGATGCTCGTCCTCCAGGCTGAGAACACAGGCCAGTGTCTGAATTTTCTATTACACATTGCTTCAGCCCGACAAGTTCAAAGGTTCAAGTCCAACCAATTCTGTTGAGACGCTTTATCTCCACCAGCCCCACTGCAGAGGCGAGGTCCCGGAGCCCAGCCCAGGTGACGACAGCAGGCAACACCCTCTGCCCTCGGGGGCCCTGCAACCTTCCTCGCGCGCAGGTCTTTGCCAGTGGTTCCCTCCCCTCCGGAAACACTCACTCCCCGCTCCCCCGCGGCGTTCCCGGAAGCGGCGCGCCTGCGTCATCGCGCGCGCGGCCCCGCCCTGTGCTCTCGCGGGATTCTCCTTGCAGGTTGCACCAGGGGCCCCGGCCTGGGTAGGCGGGCGGGCGGGCGAACGTGGAGGGGCCCGAGCCTACCTTCCGAGCTGCGGCGGGGAGAGGCGTGGCCTCCCCTCTGGGCGGGCGGCCGCCTCCGGGCGCCAAAATCAAATCGGAGACCCGCCGGCGGGAGAGCCTGTGACGAGCCGGAGCCCAGACTGCAGGGCGGCGGAGGCGCGAGCACCTGTGCCCACTTCCTAGCCACCTGCCCGACGCGCTCGACCGCCCCCTGTCCAGGCATGGCCACCCCACCCAAGAGGAGCTGCCCCTCTCCTGCGACCAGCTCGGAGGGAACCCGCATCAAGAAAATTTCCATCGAAGGGAACATCGGTAAGGAACCCCGCGCAATGTTGGGTCCATAGAAGAGGGGGTCACGGCGGCGGCGAAGCGAGCGTTTGCGGCATCTCTGCTCCTCAGTGAGGACCTTCCTCCCAGGCTAGCTGTGGGGCTGCGCTCTTGAATTCCCCCCTCCCTGTCCTCCTGCTCTCTGCCCTCCCGGCCCCTTCCCTGCCCTCCCAGCCCCCTCCCTGCCCCGACGGCGGCGGCGGCGGCGGCCTCCGGGCATCTGGCAGCGCTTTGGGCCGGTTTCATCCTCTCTGTTGGGACCCCACAAAGGGAAAGTTTGTTGTTGTTTTTTTGGAGGGGGGGTGTCAGTTCTTCCGATGCAATTGACATACGTTAAATGACCCATTTTAGGTGTAGTCTTCAGTGAGGCCTGGCAAACATAATGTCATTCTACCACCACCAGGATCAAGGTTGAGAGCATCTCCATCACCTCGGGAAGTTCCCTGTGCCCGTTGGCAACCACTGATCTCAGTCCTTGCAGGTTTTGCCTTTTCCAGACGGTGATAGAGCGGGAATGATAGTGTGTGTAGTCTTGTGTGTTATACTTTAAATTAGCAGAATGATTTTATACTCATCCATGTTGCTTGTCTCGGTAGTTCTTTTCTGTTGCCTAGTACTATTCCATTGCATGGTTATTACCACGCTTTATCTCTTCCCTAGCTGTGGACATGTTTCCAATTTTCAGCGATTATGAATAAAACTGCTATAAACATTGGAGTACAAGGAAAGAGGTTTTTAATTATCTAACAGCATGGCTTTCCTCACTAACGACCCTGCATCCAAGTAAACTTTGGGCTATGATTCCAAGACCATTATGTTTCTCTTCTTTACCCAGATGGGGACAGAACACACCATGCATGCATTTTGCAAGATGCATCTGAACTTCTGGTTTTTATATATTTCCTAACACAGGAAACCTATGCCTGACATTTCCTGTTTTGAGATCATTTATTTTTTGTCTCCAAGTTATGTACTAGTCATTCATGCATACAGTGAATGGTTTTAAATTCTTACCCCATTCAAAGCACTTGAATTTTGTTTTTTGTTTCTGTAATTTTTATAAAGCAGTCGGACTTTTAAAAAGCAAGGCAAGCAGATGCTTTAGCAGCATTCCAAGGAATAGAAAAAAAGCTGGACATACCCTCAAACAGGACATTTTGTTTCATTGCTCTCATATTAAGGCACCAGTGGAAAAGATCCATATACAGTTGGACCCTTGAACAACATGCATTTGAACTGTGCAGGTGAAGTTATACATGGATTTCCCCTCCAATAAATATGGTACTGTTTCTGTGGTTGGGAGTCCGTGGATGCTGAGGGCAGGCTATATGCATTGATTTATGCCATTTCCCCCCCCCTTAAAATTAGTGTTTTTGTTTTATTTGGGCAGATACCCAGAAGTGAAATTGTTTGGTCATATGATCACTCTATTCTTAATTTTTTGAAGAACCTCCATGTTTCCCATAGTGGTTCTACCAATATTCAACCCCATCAACAGTGCATGAGAATTCTGTTTTCTCCATAATCTCTCCAAAACTTGTAATTTGTTGTCTTTTGATAATAGCTAATCTTACAGGTGTGAGGTAATTTCTCACCATGGTTTTAATTTGTACTTTCCTGATGATTAGTGATGTTGAGCATTTGTCATATGCTTCTTGGCCATCTGCACGTCTTCTTTGGAAAATTTTTTACTCTGTCCACTTTTAAATTGGATTGTTAGATTTTTTTTTTATTTTGAGTTGTACAGTTCTTTATATATTTTTTATTAACTCCTTATCATATATGTCATTTGCAAATATCTTCTCCCATTCTGTAGGTTGTCTTTTCATTTTGTTTATTTTTTTCCCATGAAGAAGCTTTTTAGTTTGATGTAGTCCCACTTTCTTTTGTTGCCTTTGCTTTTGGTGTCAGATCTATAAAATCATTGCCAAGAAAGGTTATGGCTTATATTTTCTTCTGAGAGTTTTGTGGTTTCAGTCTTACATTCAAGTCTTCAACCCATTTTAAATTTATTTTTGTGTATGGTGTAAGATAATCGTCCAGTATCATTCTTGGCACATGACTATCCAGTTTTTCCAGCACCACTTATTAAAGAGACTGTCCTTTCCCATTGTTTATTCTTGGCTCCTCTGTCATAAGTTAATTGACCATATATGGATGAGTTTATTTCTGGGCTCTCAACTCTGTTCCATTGATCTATGTGTTTATTTTTGTGCCAGTATCATAATGTTATAATTGCTATAGCTTTGTAATATGTTGTGAATTTATGCCATTTTATATAGGGGATTTGAGCATTCGCAGGTTATGGTGACCCTGAGATCCTGGAACTAAAATCTGAATATTTGCTAACACTGAACCTGCATTTCTGTAAGACAACATTTTGCTATTTAGATGGGCTTTATTCCTCACCACTTAGTCTTTCCTGACACTGAAGCTTTCCCTGTTACTCTTATTGCTTTTGCACTGTTGCTCATGTCCCCTCCAATTTGTCAGACCCAAATAAGCTATAAATGTACAAGTTTTTAATCTGTGTTGTAGAAAATAATTTGTGATTCTTCTCTTATTCCTAAAATTTGAGACTTAACTGTTCATTTTATTTTATATTATATTCATACTAGAGGCCCGGTACACGAAAATTAGTACACTGGGGACGGGGGGATCTGTCAGCCCGGCTTGTGTCCTCTCACAGTCTGGGATCCCTCGGGGGATGACCATCTGCTGGCTGAGGCCTGCTCCCCAGGGGATTGGGCCTAAGCTGGCAATCAGACATTCCTCTGGCAGCCTGGCAGCCCTCAGGGGATGTCCACTTGCCAGTGGGGAGCAGACCTAAGCTGCAGTCGGACATCCGCTGCTGAGGAGGCAGGAGAGGCTCCTACCACCACCGCTGTACTGATAGCCATCAGCCTGGCTTGTAGCTGAGCAGAGCTCCCCCATGTGGGAGCTCACTGACCACCAGAGGGCAGCTCCTGCATTGAGCGTCTGCCCCCTGGTGGTCAGTGTGTGTCATAGTGACCAGTCATTCCAAGTCTTTCTGCTGTTAGGGTCAGTTTGCATATTACCCTTTTACTATATAAGAGAGGCCTGGTGCATGGGTGGGGGCCAGCTGGTTTGCCCTGAATGGTGTCCTGGATCAGGGTGGGGGTCCCGCTTGGGTGCCTGTCCAGCCTGGGTGAGGGGCTGATGGCTGTTTTCAGGCTGCCCGCACCCCCTTCAGGGTGTGGGTCCCAACTGGGGTGCCTGGCCAGCCTGGATGAGGGGCTGAGGGCAGTTTTCAGGCGGGCCCAGCCTGCAACTGAATCTGCCAGTCTCTCCTTTTTTTCTTTTGTCTTTTTTTATTCTGGGATTTATTTACCTTCTGTAATTGAAACTTTGTTGCAGCTCCAGCTCCGATGCTGGCTGTCTGAAAGCAGGTCTCTGGGGTTTGTTTCGCTTCTATCAT